CCTCCCCTGCCCCGCCCGCACCCTGCGCCCCCGCAGGCCCCTGCGTGCGCCAGGCTCTTGCAGCCTGCATGCTGTCCCCGTGCCTAGAAGCTTCCACTGTCCCCTCCCCAGGCCGCCCAGTAAGTCCCTGCTACCTTCTCCTCATTGGGTGGGAAGGTCATTTCCTCTAAGAAGACTCCCCTGACCTCACGGCAGCTCCTTCTCTCCTTGGTGCCCCCGTGGCGACATGACCACCTCTGGTGGCCCCATCTCACTGGGACAGGCCTGGCCGCCTCTCCTCCTCTGCTCGCCTTCTTCCTCGTCACCAGCTGGGACCCATTCGGCCCTAAATCCCGGTGCCGGCCACGGCTGGCGAGCAGGTGACTCACCCGGGAGGGCTCGGAGGGGGCTTCTGCTCAGGGATTGAATGAACGTAAGGAGATGTTTATGCCAGGGTCCATGGGCAATGGAAACTTGTAGCTGAAGGGATCACCGCAGGGCAATGCTGGGGGTGACGTACAGGCACTGGGAAACGGGCAGGGCCAGCCCCAGAGACGCGTGCATCGGGCAGATCATTACCGAAACTGCGTCCATTGCTTGCTTGCTGCATGCCTGGCCCGGTGCTACATTCCCTGCAAGCATCTGCTGATACCCTACAACAGTGGTTCTCAACCTTCTGGCCCTTTAAATACAGTTCCTCATGTTGTGACCCAACCATAAAATTATTTTCGTGGCCACTTCATCACTGTCATGTTGCTACTGTGATGAATCGTCATGTAAATATCTGATATGCAGGATGGTCTTAGGTGTCGTGCCCCCTGTGAAAGGGTCGTTCGACCGCCAAAGGGGTTGCGACCCACAGGTTGAGAACCGCTGCCCTACAAGGACCCGTAGGATTACTGATCCTCACTGTGCAGATGAGGAGACTGAGGCGGGGGGCCGGGGGACATTGCTTCTCGGCCTTTTGGCTAAGATCAAGTGTAGTATCTGAGGCAGTGGCAAGGTCACTCACCCAAGGAGTGCAGTGAGGTGCACGCCTCGCCGCCACCCTGGCCATCTGCTGATGGCATCTGATATGTTCTGGGTGTCGCAGTGAGAGTTTCACAGTGAGAGTTATGAGAAGATAACTTATTGGCTTCATATTTAAACAGTAATTTCCCACATAGAACTTCACTGACATCAGCAGGTAGCTGCAGGGATCAGTGTCCTTGTCGCCAAACCCACAGCCCGTGGAGGCAAGGCCTTGCCCGGGCACACACTTCACGGTTTCTAGTGCAGGCCGCTCTGAGTCCCAGTCCCGGAAGGACGGCCACTCCAAGGACAAACCCGGGCCTGGGAGGAGCTTGGGGAGGTGTTTCTGCCCAGGTCCCGGGTGAAAGGAATTAAAAAGGACTGTGGTTTCCCCGGCCGGCGTGGCTCCGTGGTTGAGCATCCATGTATGAACCAGGAGGTCACAGTTCAATTCCCGGTCAGGTACATGCCCGGGTTGCAGACTGGGTTCAATCCCCAGTGTGAGGTGTGCAGGAGGCAGCCAACCAATGATTCTCTCTCATCATTGATGTTTCTCTCTCTCTCCCCCTCTCTTCCTCTCTGAAATCACCCCTATATAATAAAAGGCTAATATGTAAATTGTCCCCTCAAAGAGGAGTTTGCCACCACCCCCCGCCCCATGCCCTGCGCTTTTTAGCAAGTGTGCCCTGGCGCTGCCATGTGCCGGGCCCTGGGCTGGAGAGGGGAGCCGACCTGGCCTTCAGAGCGTTCAGGGGAGACGCACATAGGTGCAGACAGTGGCAATTGGTGGCCGGCTGCTCCAGCCAGAGGCCGTGGCCTGGCCCCGAGGGCAGTGGGAGGCTGACCCCAGGGGATTACAAGTCACAATCTTTCATTTGCCAGCGTCAGGCTGCTATTTTAGAGCTGAGGCCACGTCCTGGGTGACAGCGGCATCAGGAAGGCTGGGCGCTCCGCCAGCCTCTCGGCCGGCCCCGCAGTGTGAGTGGAGCGACCCCTGGTGGCAGCGACCGGAATCTGTCATTGCTTAGGGAGCGCTGGCCGCCCCTCCTTGCGACTGTCTGCCTGCCTGTGGGCAGAACCGCCGGTTCACCTCTGACCCTCACTCCGGCAGCAAGCGAGGGCTTTAAGACATCGTGTGAAAACTGAAACACAGGCGGAAGCGGTGAACATACAACTGACGACGTAAAAGGCCCGATGACAGGCCAGTCACCTGACACGAAAAGGTCAGCCCGGTTCCATTAGCTAGATTCCAACAGGCCAGACCTCGAGACTGCACTCTATCCTGTCTGTTTCTCAGACGTTAAACTCCCTCAGCACTTTTCCTCGTTGGTCAGCATTCGGAACAACCCAAAGTCCCCTGGGGGCCTGATTAAGGCCTTAAGAACTTGTGAGAAAATGATCCTTAAAAACATCACAGGAGAAGCACAGACCGAAACCCACGCTCTTAGGAACAGAGCCTCCTGGCTCTGGGGAGACTGTGAGTGCGTCTGCACGGGAAAAGCCCGCAGGGCACCGTCTAGCACACGAACAGCGTGTGTGTCTGGGTTTCACCGAGTTCCTTGTTTTCCTCCTTTTGCTTATCTTTCAAAGTAAAGGTAAAGCGAAAACCATGCAAAGTTACAGGCGAATGCTCCTGTGAGTGGGGAAAGCAGGAAGGGTTGACCAGTCAGAGCAGAGAAGTGCGGGAAGCAGGGGGGGGGGGGTGCTGGATCCAGTTCAGAGCCCCGAGCTCACTCCTGTCCTCCCACTGTGTGCGCTGTGTGACCTTGGGCAAGTTTCTCTCCCTCTCTGAGAATTGATTTCATCACGTGTGCAATGAAAGGGGTGTAGCGTCGTCTTTTTGGGTGCCCTCCATGGGAGGAGAGGTGCCCGCAGCAGGTAGCAGGGCACAAGGCTCTGAGGCAGGAGGGAGAGGGGCTGTGGGAGGAGCAGAGATGGGGTAGGGGGAGCGGACCAAGCAGGTGGGGGTGGGCTTCTCCTTCAGTGCAGCGGGAAGCATGGAAGGTTGGAAACAGGAGAGCAGCCTGCCCCATTTGCAGTTCAGTGGGATTGCTAGTAGGTGAGCGTGTGGAAGGGCGGGGCTGGGGCTGAGGGTGTGTGTGTGTGTGTGTGTGTGTGTGTGTGTGTGTGTGGCGGGGAGGGGGAGGTTGCCCAGCAAGCAGCAGGCGATGAGCACCCTCCCCCAGGAGTTACGTGCCAGCCAGGCAGAAGGGACAGCAGAGGCAGGCGCGCGGAGGCAGGCCAGCCAGGGCGGGTGGGGAGGCGGCTGGGGGAGAGGCCACTGTGAGTGGGAGCCGGGGCCAGGGTGAGGAGTGTCCGTCAGCCTGTGACCCCATGGTGGCCTCCAGGGCCTGTCTCAGCGCTGGAGCCTGAGGGAGCCGGGCGGCTCTGAGCAGGAGGCTCAGCTAGGGGTTGATGCAGGGTCTGTTGGGAGAGGGCAGCACCCGGGGGACAGGTGCGGGGGGCAGTACCTGTTCACTTCTGTCTCCCTCATCTGGAACAGCCTCTGGCACATCGTAGGGACTTGGTAAATGTTTGCCCATAGATGCACTAGGGAGTCTAAACACCTGCCTGTCTGCAGGCTCTGCCTCCGCATCCGGCTATCACACATGCGTTAAGCACCTACTGTGTGCTAGGCTAAGGTGAGGGTGCAGACCGGATGGAGCTAACTTCCCCTCCAGAAGGACCTCAAGGTCTGGTGTGGGCAGAAGGGCAGCAGACAGCACCGTTAGGACGGGTTAGCAGTAGCCCGGGGCAGGGCGTGTGGGTGGTGGGCAGAGCTGCGTCTTTTGCGGCCCCACGCCTCCCCTGCAGCCGCGAGAAGGCGCCGTGTTATAGTGCCCTGCAGGGGGCGCCTCGCTGCACACCCGCCCAGCTTGGGGAGAGCCTGAGGGCAGGGGCGCCGCCCCAGGGTATTGGCTGTAGCATCTGGACTCGTTGGCATTTGAGGGACAGGACTGCCCAGAGCCCCTGGTGGGACACAGTGGGAATAGGAGGGAGAGGGGACCGGAGCCCAGAGGTGTCCTGGCTGGCGGACAAGCCCCTAGTTGTCTGTGGAACAGAGCCTGGTGCTAACAGGAGGCAGTTAGGGCTGTAGGGCCAGGAGCCGGGACCGGCTGCACAGGACACAGCTGCATGGGACAGGACTGCATGGGACAGGGCTTCATGGGACAGGGGTGCACGGGACAGGGCAGCAGGCCATGGGCCTCTGCTCCCTGAGCCTCAGTTTCCCCTGGGTTCCCACTACATCCGTTGGGAGGGACGCATGGGGACCGGCTTGGATGGACACTCAGCTCTCGATTCCGTGTCTTCCTGAAGGACGCCTGGGGCCGTGTCCAGGACGAGTGGCTGCTCCTGCCCTGGGAGGAGGCACTGGAGGCCGGCGGACGCCCAGGCTGGCAGACACCTCCCCACCCCAACGTGGCCCCGGGACCGCACGCCTCCGCAGGTATGTGGGAGCCACGGTGCGTGGAGCACCCACCACTGGGCTAGCTCACTGACAGCACCTGATGATGCAGGGGGGCCGTCCCGACTGCAGACAGGAAGCCGGGGCTCAGAGAGGTGCGACCCTGCTCAGTGTCACACGGCTGTGAAGGGGTCGGAGCCCACCGTGCCCATGACACGCCCGCCAGCACGGGCCACAGGCCTCTCAGGTGCTTGTCCCCCCAGAAGGCCGAGCTCTTCTGTCCCCACCCCACCCCAGTGACCGCCAGGTGCCAGGCCTGGGAGCTGCTGGCCTTAGCAGCCCCTTGTCCCCGACGGGAACCTATGTCCCTGATGACAGTCTCAGCCACAGCTTCCAGGTCCCTTCTGCACACGCCGCTGCTCCCGGCAGCCCCAGAGCCACCGGACCCCCTGGTGTCTGTGGTTTCCGCACAGTCCCCCAAGGCCAGGTGCACAGGAGGGATCATGCGTACCCACCAGCCGCTCACCCCCAAGGCCCGCTCCCCTTCTGCCCCCTTTCCGGGAGCCGCGCTGACCAGCCAACAAGGTCAAAATCATCCTTGGAAGGCACAGGTCTGCCTGCTGGGAGCCCAGGAATCGGCTCCTTGGTCCGCACCCCGACCGTGGGGGCTGGAGGTGGGATGGCGACCGTGTGGCCATGAGGGAGCCAGGAGGAAGGTGTGGATTGTGTCACCCGCATGAGCTCTGTGGTTAGAAGTGGCGGCCAGACCCAGACCCACTGCCCGTCGGGACGGTCACGTCCCCTCTCTGAGCGCCTGGCACCTTCCCTGGAGGGCGATGGTGATCTTCAGGCCTCATGGGCCTTCGGGATGGGAAGGGTGTGAGTCAGAGGGCAGTGCCACCAGCCCCAGCAGCAGGGGCAGGGCCACTGGCGACAATCCCGGGCAGGGTCCTAGGAGGGTCTTTCTAACCTCGGGGTCCTGTCCCTCCCCAGTCCCACCCGCTGAGGGGCCCTGCGCCTGGGGCGGCGTCGAGGCTGGACAAGGCCCCTTGGAGCTGGTGCCCAGCCTGGAGACGGCAGCTGGGCTCCTGGGAGAGCTGGTGGCTCCTGACCGTGGACGGGTAAGGCAGAGGCTCCTGTGTGCCCAGGGTCCAGCTGGGTCTGACCAGCCCCCCGTGTGTGCCCTCCATGTGGGAGGTGGGAGGAGGGAGGTCATGCCTCATCCCAGGGAAACTTCTGAGCAGGGTCCAGCCCAGGACTGTGAGGCAGGAGCCACGCCCCTGTTCTGCAGAGGAGGGCTCTGGGACCCCCAGAGCTGTGATCCCCAAGGCCACACAGCCCTGTGCTGGACCCAAGCTCTGGTTCTGCAGCCCACACTCCGCCTACCTGTGCCCCGAGGGTCAGGACCAACTGCCCCCCCGCCCCCCCGTCCCTCCGTCCCTCCCTGGCTCTGCCTGGCTCGCTTTGAGGCCCAGCGTTTCCTGCAAATGAAGGGCAGGGGCATGCAAGCAGGGCTCAGGCCGCACGGCCTGGCTGGTTCTGGGCTCAGCAGGGGTCTTCCCTGCTTCTTCATTCCTTCACACCCTGCCCCGAGGCGCTGCGTGCATGCATGTGCACATGTGTGTGTGTGTGTGTGTGTGTGTGTGCATATGTGCGTATGTGTGTGTGCTGGCATACCCTGAGCCACCCTGTGGGTTGGGAGGGCTTCCTGGAGAAACTGGCCCCTGGCTCCATCCAGGCGGAAGATGGAGTTAGACAGGACAGGGATGGGCGGCGCAGGGTCGCGGGTGGGAAGA